GGTTAACTAATGAGGTCTTATTGTGTAGTGATACCCATTGGTCTTTATAGTTCTTTTGCACTTTAATCTGTGTAAAACTTTTAACTTCATACATTTTTCTGTATTGCTTTATTGCATTTAAATGTTCAGTTATTTTTGTTATAAGAAAAAAGTTATTAAACCTGTGATACAGTATTATGACAGGACTTTTTTAAAACTAAATTTCAATATCGTGATAATACCGTATACCGTGTTAAAAGCATTAGCAATTAATCGCGACATGAAAATTTGATACCGGCATATCCCTAGTGGCAACCAGTATCGAAATCAGTCAATTTGCTTGTTAAAAAAAAAAAGCAATCTGAATGACCATGAAAGGCCTCAAATTGGAAGTACAATCTTAACTGTCTTTTTCTATCAGTACTTCAATAGGTAGATTTTGTCTTTCATAAAGGCCGAGGTCAGGGATCTTGGGCTTAAAAAGGTTGGTGACCACTGAACTACATTTTGTTGTATTTTGATACCAACTAGCTGGATAGTAAAAATGTGCAGTTCAGTAAGCAAATCAGATGTTCTATCAGTAACCACTCTTTCTAATTAAGTGATTTCTTTCAGTGAAGGATTTGTCTAACTATTGTTAAACTGCTAGCTTGTGACTGTGTGATTCTTTTAAAATGATTAATTCAAATGAATTACAATTTATTTTGTGGCAGTGGTGGTTAAACGGAGTACAGAAAATGCTTGTGTAAGCTTATAGAGCACATCTAAAAGTTAGGTTGTTGAATATATATAGAGATGTTTTATACATACAATAATCAATTTCAGGATGAATGATCAGGTGGACGATACAGTTCTGTCAGCAATTCCAAAAAAGCTTTTACATAGATTCAGTTATATATAGTATGAATCTGTCCTTGGTTACAATAGCATCTCCACTGAGGTCATTTATGCTTTATACATTAAAGCCCCATTATTGAACTACACAACAATAGTTATATTTCACTTTTAGGAGATCAATCTAAATGTGATATCAGGTGTTTTAGTTTCTATTAATTAATTATTTCTATTATTAGCAACCTAGTTCTATTTTGGTTTTTGCAACTTTTTAATGAAACTTTTTAAAAAGTGTCTACATTTAAATACATTTATAAATAAATATTTTAATAAATAATTCAGAGTATGTTTTGAGTAAAATTGACGTTTTTGTACGATTTTGTGTTGGAAACAGTCAATGAGATCAAGACATTTGAAGTAGGACAGGCCATAATCACCAATTAAGTGGGGATGTAAATATTAAATGTGCTCATTATATAGGTACTTTTCATGATGGGGTAGTTTTATGTTAGATAATGGTTTATGAAACATCTAATAGCTCTTACTGCAAATACTCTTTCTAATAGCACAGAAAGGTCACTGTATTCATGGAAAGTGTCAGTCTGTATGTAGGATGTGTCTATACTGACCTTTCTTTGAATGAACCTGTACTCTCATCTGTTTTATGAAATCATGCACCATTCATTTGAAAATCTTTTTATCCGTGATTATGAATGAATACTGCGAAGCACACATGAGGTTTTGTCCATTTATAAGTGAATTGTAAGTTATCACTATGCATTCAGAGCACTGTGCCGTTTGCACATTTCACATATAGCTGCCAGGATGCCTGACCTTTTGTCTTTGCTGTGAATGTACGTAGGTTGTTTTGAGTCATTTACAAACTGCAGAAATAAATCAACTCAATCCAGCATTTAGCTGTGAAATTCACACACGCCCCTCACACTACCCCACAAAACCAGATAATTCTGGTCTCAGTCTGAGCTCCGATCTTCTTCACCTTAAAAGCTTAAAGCCATCAACAAGCCTATCATCAGGCGTCGCATCGCTGCAATTAAATGGCTTACATTTATCACAGAAACAGTTCATTGTCTGTAGATTCTTTAGATGCTACCTTCCATGCTCCCAATCAAAAGAGATTGACAGATCGTATCTGCACATCTGCGTGTTTTGAAACGAGAAGCGCTTGCACAGATGTATAGTACACGGATACATTAATCTGTACGCCAACAATTGTAACAAATTAAAAACCTTAAATAAAAGGTCCTCTTTTGATTGCTGTTAAGCTAAATGGCACCAGGAGAGCAGTAATTTTCTGTAACTTCCTGCTGGTATGTTGCGTGAAGCTTTGGCCATTGTCGAGCTGAAGATGTACAGTTTCCTGTACTCATAACTGTGTGTAATCAGTGACTCAGTCTGATACCACTGTTGACACGGTGCTCGAAATGCCAGTATGTAAGACCAAAGTAATGGTACACTCATCTGTTAAAAACTATTGATTGTTCCATACCGTAGTGAGCTGTTCTGCTGTCTGCTGCCTACATAGACAGCTGCCTTTAATGACAGCACGCTAACTGAAATGGAACGCTCTACATGGACAGCAGCTTTGCTCACCACACAAACAGATCTCCTCACGCAAAGCTCAGGAGAGATCAAATTACAATTGTCTTTGAATTTGGTATTAACATGCTGCTAAGTGAATGTACATAACATTTTTATCAGCACTTTTTGGTAATTAATAAATTAAGTAGATTTATAATCGACGTTTCATCTCGGATTTGTTCAGTGAGTGCAGTGCATTGAGGTTTTTGTCAGTAAAACTCAAAATATTTGTATTTTATTGGTATTTCACAAATAATAACAAATAATTAATAAATATGAATAGTTAACATAATTTGATTTTAAAAAATCACATAATTTTTTAATAAAATAAAAAACAGCTTTAACGAGCTCCCAGATCAGGCATTCACAAAAAATTTTGTTAGCTGAAAATAGTTTTTTGAAGTACCCCTTGATTTCAATTTTCAATTTTTCCTTTCTCTTTGGAGTGTTACAAGCTCTTGGTGAATAAAGAAGATCTGTAAAGTTGCAAAGACTAAAGTCTCAAATCCAAAGAGATATTCACTTTCATTCGCTTTCACCGTGGACGAAGTGGAGTCCAGCCCGGGGTCGTCACATGTGGTTACCGCAAGCCTCCGCTCACTCAATCCACCGGCCTCCGCTCACTCTAGCCCGCCATGTCCGTGCAGAGGCTATTCCGTTTTATTGATCTGTGGCGCATTCATTTTGATTCTTTACACGTGTAATGATGTCCAGTGACTTGTATGCATTATTTTATTTATTTGTAAGACTTTTTTATGACTAAATTTGGTAATGGGAGAGTAAAAATATTTTTAAAACGTACCACCGTTCAAACTAGGCTGCTTATGTTGAAGTGTTTGGGATGTGGCTTTTAATGATGAGACCTTTTTTGTAATCAGGCTCTCAAAAAGTATATAACAATTTGGATATAGATTTATCGGCCAACATATCGGTTATCGGCTTTCAAAAATAAAGAATAATCGGTTATCGGTATCGGCCAAAATGTTCATATCGGTGCATCCCTAAAATTATAACACTTTATTTTACTACAAGTTACAATACTATGTCTTAAATTCTTCAATTAATTATGCAAATGTCGAAATAAATTGATCCTGGCACACATTGCGTTACAAGCAGCATGTAGTTTGTGTAAAGCAGAATTTATTGTAAACCAAGTTGCTCTGAGACACTGAAAGCAGATCATTAGCTGTAAATGAATACAGCGCATCACTTTCAAACACACTAAATTGCAACCTAACCTATATTGCAATGTTTATTTTATTTTAATTAATAGTGCAGCCCTATTTATTTTTAATTTGCCTTTCATTAGCTGGGTTTCCATCCAAATATGAAGCAAATCTTTTTGAAATTTGCAAAAAGAAAGTGGGGGAAAAAAAGAAAGAATGTGAATTATGTGCATTTCCATCAAGTTGTTTGTGCGGATAACGGTGGTATTGGTATGATAATTTAACCATATGATTGATGAATCCTGCTTCATAATGGTGGATAATGTAATATTTCATTGTTAATTTGCCATTTTAACAGATTTAAAAAGAAAAAAGTTGAAATGATGCTGACTTGTGAGCTCGGAGCTCATGTCTGTTTCTCTATGGAGAAAATGAATGTGATTTTTACTTCCGCACCGTTGCGCTCTATCAGTGTCCATGGTGACCAGTGACCGCTGTTAACAGTTGACTGTAGAGATGCTATTTGTTTGCCTGGCACCCATGCAGGGGTTTGCAGGAGCCCGGGTTGCTGTAGGCCTCAAGAATGTGTCTCCTCTCATGTGACCTATAGATCTTGCAGTGGTCCCGCGCACATCTCACTATACTGGGATAACATGACAATCTGTCACTGACACTGAAAGAAGCCCGTGCAAACAAAGGGAGAGATGGCGAGCAAAATGAGAGGCCGAGGCGGCCTTGCCCCCTCACGCGCTGCTTCAAATTTCCACACTTAATAATGCGCACACTCGTGCATGCACAATGTGCGTTATTGTTGTCATGACAGCTGCATTCTCCCTTTGCAGTCAGCCTATTGCATGTTGCATGGACGTTTATGTGATTAAACGACTAAATTGGCTTGTTATTCAGCATCCTGTGGACTTTGGTGTGGTGAAGTGCAGTGTTGTTCTTGTGAGCATGTGAGACCGAGTATAAAGGGGATTATAAAAGCTTCAGCACACTGTCAGGCTTTGATTTGGCTGGGGGATGGGGGAGCTTTGGGGTTAGTGGCTTCCTCTGAATCCAATTTAAAAACCTGTCCAGACACCTAATAGCAGGCAGAATCACAAAGCAAATGTGCGTGTGTGATTCTGACGAATTAGTCTCATTGCCGACATGTTTTGTTTTCCTCATTTGCTTTAATAAGATTTTTTTTGGATGTCATAAAAAGGGTCTGTGGGATGTTTGGGGTCGTATTTTGGAGTAGGTGGTGAATGCATTGCTTTTATTAGCTTGGGTTTGACTTTACAATGGAAAACATTTCTAAAAATAGTTCATAGTTCAGGTGATCCTTGATCCTGGAGTCATTCTGTTTTGTTGAGCTTGACGGATCATGAATCTGGGGAAAAAGGTTTGATTTGTGTTGTTTTTCTCTCCCTTCAGCATATGTTAATGAAGCAGCAGGATCGCATTGACGATCGAGTGAAAGACATCGAGGAGCAGCTGTGTAAGTTGGAGTCTGACAAACTACTGGTGGAGGTAAGGAGATGTTGATGGGAGCATGCACACACACGCTTCTGTCTTCCTCTGTCAATCTGTCTGCATGTCTCTCCCCTCACATTCTATTGCAGCTAATGAATATGTAAGAGGCTGTTTTTGGTATGACATTGGCAGCGTCTGTGCTTAAGCCTTGTGTAGACCTTTTCTCCCTGTCTGCAGTTTTATTTTTGTTGTTTAAAGGTCCCCTGAAATGCTTATACACGCAGCGTTACTCTGTGTTGACGTCATTTTTAACTGAAACAGGAAGACAGGGCGGGACATATCAAGCAGCCCCGCCCCCTTTTAAAATGGCCAATAGCGCTCGTTTATATCACAGCTTGGGCTAGAGCTGTTGAGCTCCGTAAAGCCGCATTTGACAGGGTATGCCAGCCACAATCTCATCCATATTGCTACAAAATATAGCATTCTGTGTAGAATTCAAATAGCTCCGTTTTTTTTGTGGTCTGCGCCGACTCGCGCATGTGATCTGCTCTGTGCTACCGTGTCTCTGGACCGGAGCAGAGTGCGTGTACGGTGCGGTAGTTATCGTGACACAACGCGAAACCAGACTTCTTTTTTTCCTCAATGGAATGCATATATACACAGTTTGAATTGTTCCCTGTCCCCTATATAGTGCACTATGTGCCATTCACTGTACAGAAAATACTAATTCTGTGGACAAGTGACCGATTTCAGCCGCGGCTTCAGCGTCTATTTTATAGTGTAGGGGGCGGGAGCTTCGGATTCTAGAGAGCATTTGATTGGACAGAAAGTTTGATGAGAAGCTGAAGTACGATGTGACGTCAAAAAAATCGTTGAGCCGTTTTGGCGGAAGGGCCGAACTGCAAGCTTTGAATGCTTATATCTTCTAAATGCGAATTTTGTCACGGTTTTGGAGCACCCTGCCTTATAGATAACCTTTAGACTAACATATTGATACTAACACCCAAAAAACGTTAATTTTGATTTCATGGGGACTTTAAGGAAAATTAATTAGATCAGTATGTTGCAGTACAAAACTGGTCTAAGTCTCCATGTTTCGGATTTGAATCTCTATTAGCTTTTACAGCAGCTGCTGGTTTTCCTGAGATCCACATTAAAAAAAAAAAAAGTATGAAAATAACAATTAATATTAAATCGAATAAAAAAAACAGGAATAAGAAAAGAAAAAAGAAAATCTTAGGATGCTATCAAATCATAAAGACGTTTCATTCAACCTGTATACATGAAAAGCAAAACAACAGAAGTGCAAGATCACATAACAGAGCTAAGCTGTGCTGACACATGTGGAATTTTCTCATATTAAGCTACGAAAACAAAATTATCAGAAACCAAATCGGAACGTTTTATGACTGACTCATCTCCAGTATGTTGCAGTACAAAACTGGTCTAAGTCTCCATGTTTCGGATTTGAATCTCTATTAGCTTTTACAGCAGCTGCTGGTTTTCCTGAGATCCACATTAAAAAAAGTATGAAAATAACAATTAATATTAAATCGAATAAAAAAAAAACAGGAATAAGAAAAGAAAAAAGAAAATCTTAGGATGCTATCAAATCATAAAGACGTTTCATTCAACCTGTATACATGAAAAGCAAAACAACAGAAGTGCAAGATCACATAACAGAGCTAAGCTGTGCTGACACATGTGGAATTTTCTCATATTAAGCTACGAAAACAAAATGATCAGAAACCAAATCGGAACGTTTTATGACTGACATAATGGCCTGCATGTTTTGACATAAATATGAAAGTGTTGTTAATATGAACTAAAATGAAAACTTTTAAAAAATACAATAAATACTACATGAAATACCTGAGCTTGAAAAACTAGATAAATAAAAAAGTAAAATGCAGTTTAATCAGTAAGGTTAAAAGTTTACCTTTTATACAAGCTTTTCTAAAATAAAAAGGTGGTGTGTGGTTCCAGATGATCTTGTGAAAGTATATTAAGATTCTAAAATATAATTTAGTGCAGATACCGCAGCTTTTGTGCAGCTCACAGACTGTTAAACCTTCAGAGCTGTCTTCAGTGAACTGCACTACAAACACCATCAAATGTACTGTACATTGTTGTTTTCCACCTTTATTTATTCAGAGGATATAAAATAGTTTAGATTAAAGTAAGATTTTGCTTATTTTTGCTCTGTGGTTGCTCTTTTAAAGCTTTAGATACGCATTTAGGAAATCACTTTGGATTATTAATCTTTGTCGCTGATGTGATAATTTTTCAATACAGTAGGATTATAGATCTATTACATAAATGTGGATAGCATAGCTCCTTTTTAAATCTCAGTCTTTTGATTGTGTACTTTGGTAAAGTCTGAGACATTGTTGTAATCTTTTCTGAAACTAGAAACCGAAACTAGAATACTGCTGGGGATTTTTTTCAGAGTAAACATCTGAGAAGCAGAAAAATTTAACCGATTTAACAAAATGAAACAAAACTCTTGATTTACTTTCCATTTAAAATGACAGAACCGTCAAAAATGTATCTTTAGTGTTGTATTCAGTTTCCTTTCCTACAGAGAGCTATTTCTTTAAGTATTCACAATGAGGGAGACTATAGAAATTCAGTATGTACTCTTGTTTGTGTGTGTGTGTGTTGTGCAGGATAAGGTACAGCAGCTGAAGGAGGAGGTGCGTGTGCAGTATCACAAAATGCACCAGCTCTTAGAAGATGACCTGGGGAGAACTCTAGAGGTGCTGGATAAAGCACACTCCAAATACTGCCAGGAGAACTCGACCCAAACCCTCCAGCTCAATGAACGCCGTCAGGAGGCCAAGAAACTGCTCAGCTCTGTCCAAGTTGTGTTTGACAAGGCAGAGGATATTAACTTTATGAAGGTGAGGTCGATTCTTACGTTCACCCTTCACAGATGCCTTCATCTGCTCGTCCTTCACTGTCTGATATCCCACAATCCTGTGTGTGCGGTTTGGAAGCTGCTGGGGAAAAATGCTGTCTGATTGAAAGTAGTAAATCAATTCATAAATATGACCCTGGAGCACAAAACCAGTCTTATGTCGCTGGGGTATATTTGTAGCAATAGCCAAAAATACATTGTATGGGTCAAAATTATTGATTTTGCTTTTATGCCAAAAATCATTAGGATGTTAAGTAAAGATCATGTTCCATGAAGATATTTAGTAAATTTCCTACTGTAAATATATTCAAACGTAAATTGATTAGTAATATGCATTGCTAAGAACTTCATTTGGACAAATTTTCTCAATATTTAGCTTTTTTTACACCCTCAGCTTCCAGATTTTCATCTCGGCCAAATATTGTCCTATCCTAACAAACCATACATCAATGGAAAGCTTATTTATTCAGCTTTCAGATGTATAAATCTCAATTTTGAACATTTCGAACGATATACCCTTATGACTGGTTTTGTGGTCCAGGGTCACAAATGTCATTTTTGATCAATGTAAACAACGCTTAATCCATAATTATTTTGTTTTCCACATACGATTCCATGTCTAGCAAGAAAAAATGTAGTCATTAAATATGGCCGGTTTTCGATTATTAAACATTTTGTCATGGTATCTTGGAAGTGTGTCTGAAACCAATTTCTGTCTTGACTGGACTGCTCTGGGTTTCGGACGCAGTGAATATTTCCTTGAACACACTCCCATCCGACTTATGCTATAAATCCCCTTGCACTCACCTACATACTCTCATAAACACAGTGTGAATGTGCCCATACCTGTGAGAAATGTTTCCCTGTCTCTGTGTGGTTGTTATCAGCAGATCTGCACTTCCAGATTTTTCCGTGTTTACAGACAAAGAGGCAGTCAAGCAGCAGCTTGTAGACTGCATGCAGGGAGATTAATATTTTGTTCTGTTTTGTTTTGTAGAACACAAAACCAGTAAAAATACTCATGGACAGGTATGTCGTTTATGAGCCAAAGTGCATAAATGTATATAGATTGAATACTAAATCACATTTTGAATGTAGTAATCTGGTCATGTCTTTTCACAGATCACAGTCATGCACAGGCAGTGTTCTGCCTCCTTACAAAGTGGGTCATCTTAATTCCAAAATATTCCTGTCTGAAGTCTCAAAAAAGGAAAAGAACTTGAGAAAAATACTGGAAGGCAAGTAAAAATTTAGTGGTTCAGTGACAGTTGGTGGTTCACACCTTTTCTAATTGGATCATTGATTCTAGTATAAAACAATGGTAAATGAAAATAAAATTCCACTAGCTATGTAATCATGAATAGTTATGATAGTACGTTTTTTGGCACAAATTTGTCAGTTGGTAGAAGCAAGACAAATTAGACGGGTACCAATGTAGATTTTTTTTTTTTGTTGCACATTTTATATTGAAAATGCAATTCATACATACACCTTTATGATGAGCATGTTTTAAATTTCTTAATTATTTTAGATATTTTTGGGGGCATAAAATACAACATGTTAGGATGATGTAGCACATCCAACACTGAGAAACGTGCAAGAATAAAAACAGGTCAAATAGTCTTAAATATCAGATAAATATACCTTTTATGACAAAGCAAGGTTAGTTCAGCTTGTCATTCTGTGCAACACCCTAGAAACTTACATGTAGTTTGTAGATCGGGAAGGAGGAGGCGGGAACCGGCGAACACTCAAAGAAAACTTTAATAATAAAATAAACACAAAATAGCGTGACAGCCCCTCGCGGACGACTGCCGCGCACAAACGAAACCAAAACACAAAATAAAGTCCAGGCCTGGTCCTCTCTCGTCTTTCTTTCCATCATTCCAGCTCCGTTTTTACTCCTGCCGACTCCCCCAACCCCAGCTCGTCCCAGCAGGCCATGCTGCCGCAGTACGGCGGCCGTAAGATTCTCATGTGCACGATGGACAACTGCTACTGCTCTAGTGTCCCCTCCATATCTAACCACCGCGGTCATCCTCCCTACCCACGCTCGGGATCTTTCCCTTGGACACAGGACTACACCCACCCCCTGCCTGCCGCGCCCTCAATGTCCCAGCCTCTCCAGGGGCTGCAGAAAAAAACAATCCTGAGACATTGACATGTACTTCATAATATTTTCATGCATGAATGAGGAAATTCTGTGTGAGCACATAAAACATCTACCTGTCCATGGCAAACTACATGACCTACATGTTGCGAAGTACCATTATTAGGCATTAATAATTGTCACAGTTGTTAAAAAGAAGCTTCAAGTACTTGTGCGTGATTACAGCGATTACATATTGTTAGATCTCTGCTGCTGCAGATCCAAAGAAATCCCATAAATCAAGCATGACTGTGTTTGTCTTTGGCTTGGATCATTTGCCTAGACCTTGTTGTTGATTATCAAAACAGGTTTGGAGGTTATATTTGAAGTGCGGTTAATCATTCGTAAGGCAGTTAATCATTTGTTTATTAGATAGCAACAGCATTAAGTCCGAAGCGAAACTTCTGTGAAATATGTAACGTCCAAAAAAAAGGCCAGACTCTTTTAAATCATTTAAATATAGCAGTCTAATGATTTATGCCAGCCTTTCCAGCTCTTCCTCATGGGTCAATGGGAGCATCAGTCACATTTTTCCATTAAAGCATGGTGGGATGGGGGCGCAGGGCTGGCTGGGCTAGAAAGGGGATGGGGGAAGTAATCAGGCTTGAAGAACAGCTCATCATTTATTTATAAAGTGTAACGTTCCAGCCCCTCTCCTCCCACAAACCCCATACATTCACCTTTACTGCGCTCTCAGGCCAGCACAGTCAACATTTTGTGACCAATTAGAAATCTGACTGGATTCTACCCTCTTTTTTCCCCCCAGCTTGCTGTGGGTGGACACGCCATATGCTCTAAGAGCTCCACAATGGGTTTGTTTTTCTGAGCTCTGCTGTCCCATGATGCTAATCACGCTGACTGCTCATGCTAGCTCATTGCAGCCCGTGGGAGGACTGTAGCCTGCCGGAAGGATCGATTGCAAAACACAACAGAGGCTGCTCGGCTCCACTCCTCTATACATGTGATCACATAGGGATGTATTTGGGGCCTGAAGTGAAAGGGAATATAAAAAGCACCCAAACATGGGGATTTGTCATCTTTTTTTCTTGTAATGGAGTGTGAGAATTTGAGGGTGTGGATGTGTTTGTACAAAGGCTTTGGGGTCTTCTGTGCTGCTGTTCCCTTTGAGGCCATAACAAACAGACCAGCTGTAGTCCAAAGTAGTCGTTTTTTTTGCAACAGCCATATTTGCTTACTCTCCCTTTGCCATCAGTTATTAAATCCTGCCCAGTTATTCAGGGAATGATGTCCTACGATTATGGCTTTGCTGGTGTTTATCACATTTGCGCTTTTGATTGGTATTGCTCTGTTTAACATAGTTTGAGAACTTGCTGATTAGAGAGTGGACATGTTTTATTGTAGCCTGAAGGCCTGTTAACACCAACGCAAATGTGAAAATTCAGTCCAATTTTCATATGCGATGTCCATTCCAGATTCTGACATTTTCAATTGAATGAATGCTGTTTGTAATGCCTTAAATTCAACATCTTTAATTTGTTCTAATCTATTTTCTATTGCACTGAAGAAAACCAGTGACAACAAAGCTGTATATCCAAAATCGCAAACAGTCTTTAAGGGTTCTACATTTGGTTTGAATCTTAATTTACAACCCAGCAGTGGTGGACAGTAACTAAGTATTTTTACTTTTTTACTGTTGGGTGCAGTTTTCAAGTATCTATACTTTACTGGAGTATTTTTATTTTGGGAAACAAACTTTTACTTCACTACATTCAAAATCATAACATTGTACTTTTTACTTCACTACATTTCATAAAAACATGTTGTTCCTCATCATTTTGAACTGGATATATTATCATGCACTAGCCTACACAACGTGATACCAGTGTCCGATTCGTAAACGAGCTGATTCCTTTCAATTAACGTCTAGCGTAGCGTTAGTTCTGGCAGGTCACGTTAGTCAAGCTCGCATCAGCTGACTCTCAGCTGATCCCCATCTACCTATGGGAATATGACACCTATCTAAGCATTCATATATAAGGTCCCTCAGTATTATCAGCAGTTTTCGCATTGCTCAATAGCTAATTACCCTCCTCCATCCCCAACTCCTCCTCTGTCCGTCAGGATTCAGCCTTCTGATTCTCCTTTGAATCAGACTAATTCTAAAATGTGTACATAACATTATTGAACTTTAACGATATCTGCATACATTTATGTTGGTTCTGTTCTGTTTACCCTGGGGGGTTATTGCTGCTCTCTCTGCTCTCATCCATGCTAGGCTGCATGGATGCGCAGGGAGTTCTTGCCCAGAACAGAACCACACCGCCAATCCAAACTGTATGCTAATTGTCAATCATCTTTGACAATAGTGGTCCTGACAGAACTGTTAAATCGGTTCGTAAATCGCACTGAACAATTCATTCACGAATTGTATGGAGCTGATTGCAGCTGTTCTTGAGTCAACAACTCACTGATTCAAATGATCAGTCTCCAGTTAACAGTCAACTAAATGTACAAGTCTGACCCAAAATGAGCCAAGAACGGGAGATCCTCGAAGCTTGTTACTAATGCAAAATTTTTGCATTCATTATTTTTATAGACATGTATTTTTAGCAGGAGTATCTGAGTAGGCTATATAAAATTGCTAAATAAATAAACATTCATTTATAAGTACTTTTTAATTTTAAGACTTTTACTAATACTTTTACTACTTTTTACTACTTTTTTAGTACATTTAAAACTCAAGTTATGTTGTACTTTTACCCAAGTAAAATTAAGAAGGAGTACTTAATACTTTTACTGGAGTAATATTCTGTATGGGTATCTACACTAGTCAACATTTGAAGTGGATCAAAAAAGTTGATCAAAACTTTTAGGTTTTAGGATAACTTTGATGAAAGGTTTTGATCCACTTCAAATGTTGACTACTACATACTTTTCCTCAAGTACAATTCTTATCACCCAATGTAATTGCAGGAAACCATTCGAATGGGACCAGAGGTGAGAATGTGTGTTTTCTAGATGTTTGATTCTGTGGTTACAGGTCATGTGACACGGTTGCATGCATTACATATGATATATGTCTTTTAATAAAAAATGTATTGATATTATTTTATTATAAATAAACATGAGTTTATAGAAGTGGCTGCTTGCAATAAAACCATGAACGTAAGCAGAGAAATCGAGACGTATTTTACCTGACACTGATGTTCACAGACATGATTCGGACAGGATTAGATTTTAATGAAAAGTAAATTTGCTCTGGAATTTGTACATAGGATTTGTGAGAAAAACAGACTTGGCAAATTCAGATATAAGATTAAAAATGCGAAGTACATCAAAGTACAAATTTCAAAGTACAAACATCCTCTGGGAAAAGTAGCCCCGTCTGTTCAAATTTAAAATGTTAATGGCACCGCTTTTACACACCAAACATTCATCTTGGTGTGAACAGGCCTTGAGAGTACTGAGAGAAGAAAAACATAAATGATGCATAGCACTTTCTCAAAATAAAAACAAAAAACAAATCCCCAGAAACCATAGGGGGGATCTGCCTGAGGAGAGCAGGCCGAAGCTGCTGACCTGAGTGCCGCCAAACTGATTGTGCTTATTTGTTCAGATGGTTTTTCCATAAAAAAGGTGACAGTTCTTTGCTGCCGTATGGGTGCATCAGAGTTTAATCTACAATTCAATGCAGTTGCATGCGTACCTCAAATGCAGTTTGAGTGCTCGGATTACAAGACGTTGTGGATCCCATTTACACCTGTATTTAGCACTGACCGTCAGCTGTAAATCTAGGACAGATGTTAATACCAGATGTATGCTGTGCCTTTGTCTTTTCCTGCTTCTCATTCACACATTGCTTTTTACACCAATACAGAGTGAGAAGGAAAGACACAAGAGGGGGATGGATAAAGTTTTCAAGAGATTTACAGAAAAAGGAAACACTAAAGAAGAGACGAAAGAGGGAAGAGGGAAGGCAGTATCTAAATTGGAATGTCTGTCGGTGCCTCACATGCTCAATAATCTATTTACCATGCAGAATTAAGATTTCTGCTATCCAGCACATTGCAGCTCCAATCCCTAAAGCCAGGACGGATAATCCAAAATCCCTCTTAGGTCCTGTGAGGCCAGCCCTGGAGCAACAGAGTCAGGAGAGCTGCAGAGTCCTCTGGGTGCTTCAGAGATCTTCTGCACGTCCATTACTGTGTATTTGGAGGCATTTAAAATGTGTGAACTTGACTCAGTTTTAGTAATCTACTGAATTCTGAAGCCTGGAACTGAATCACATTCACACATTTTTATTGTTCACGCATGCTGAAAATGATATATGGACACCAGTCGCTGTGAGAAA